GACGGCAACGTCGGTGATCGCAGGCGCGAAGGATTCACGGCCCCCCTCCATGCGGAAATTGACATCATCCACCCAAGACTTGGCAACCACCCCTTTGGGGAAACAGTTGCGATGGATGTTGGAGGCCTGGAAATTGGCACCAACACCAGCACAGGGGGCTGCCTCCACATGGGGAAGATGATCCTAGATTTCGGCGTTGGTGGTAATATTTCGGTCACCTTAGAAGCCGGAATATTACCACCATCACCGAGATCAGGATCGTCATCCCTCGGCGGAGGCACACTGCCGATCCTGGTGTTGGTGTCAACCTCTAGGCCTGCGAGGATGCTATCGAGGGTGGGGTATAAAAATGCGGCCGCGGCATTTTTGGCCGCGCGGCAGCCTGCGGCCATACTAAGAGAAGGATGCATTGGGAGACTCGCAGACTACCTACCCCTAAGAATGCGAGGCCCCGGGTAGGTTAGGGCCGACAGGCCGATGATGGTGGGGGGAGTAGCCGAGGTCGAGGCAGCGGCCGACGCAGAGGCCCACGTCGCGTGAGCCGTAAAACTCCTCGGCGCCAAACAGGATGGAGAGGTGGCTGACCCCCATCGCGTCGCAGGGTTCATCCATAAAATGGCGGCTGACGGCCGCATCGGATTGTTCCGTCCCAGAACCCAGCCCGACCGTCCAACCACTCCCGAGGAGTTCCATTCCAGATCAGACCCCCAAGGCTGGTGAGCCAGACAAGCAGGGCGATAGCCCGTTCTCCTCCAGAGTCCTTGGGTGTCAAACCCATCAAAGCGGGAAAACATTGCCATGGCCAGGCCAGGTTAGCCTCCGCCTGGTGGAACAGATCCAGAAGGGCCTTCTGGCCGGCGGGTCCGACCTCCTGGATGTCCCGAGGACCCAGGTTGTCAATGCCACGGCCAGTGTGGATAGGGACCTGGGCGAGGCAGGTGTGGAGGTGAGCGAGGGTAAGAGGGGGAAGGTCCTCGTCCCTGGCCAGAATCTGGGCCCGATTCAAAGCCTGCTGAATTATTTCCCAGGCTCGGTTCTGGGCAGGGGCCGCCCACCGTGAGGACCACCGCTCGCGCTTCAGATCCACGGCGGCGAGGGGGCTACCCGTGGGTTCCCCGGAAGAAGCAATTTCATGCATAGCCCGTGCTTAAGGGGGTTCGTATACCTATGACGCTGGCCTACTCGGCTACTGAAGGCCTCCTCAACCCATGAGCGGAACTTGCCCGCCGCCGTCCTGGCTGCGGCCTGCTGCGCGGTGGCGGCGTTGATCCTGGCCCCCATCGAACGGGACGGCGAATTCCTCCGGTGCCAGGTCGGCGGCCCTGCCGAACCAGACCTGCCAAGACTGCAGGGATTCACAAGAGAGGTTCAGAGCGGGACCCGTAGGCACACTAAAGGCTCGCTGATGCAGCTTGGAGATGGCCTCGGCCCCCTGGGGCGAAAGAGGAACAAGCTCCAGAGTAAGTTTGGAAGCGCGCTCGGCGACCTGAGCCAGCTAAAGGAGCTCGCTCCACCACTGGGCGATGGGGTCAGCGTGCCGTTTGGGTTGATCTCTACAGCTCATGTGGGTGGTGCGCGGAGGGGCCAACTTAGCCCTGCCCCAAAAAGACAAGCCGCGCGCTCTTGGGGAATCTCTAACAACTGGACTGACACAAGCTCGAGGGTGGAGACCCCGTGGGCGCAAACGCCCCCGAGCCGAGTGGCCGCTCGGGCCGGAAGTTGAAAAGCCCAGGGGCCCCCAATCCAGGGGGGGGGGTTCGGGCGGGGCCATACGATCAGAAAAACAACCTTCTGGCAAAGACCATCGCGTTCCTCAATTGTCCAGATGTTGCTCGAGGCCGTGTCCGACTCGGCCATCGGGGGGCCGCCCCAGGAGCGGTGCGCCAACTCGGGCGGGGCCCGTGGTGGTCCATCCTCCTCTGGTGGAGGTGCATCCTGTTGCTCCAACTCCTGGGCCTCCTGGGCCAGCATCTGGTCAAAATCACAGCCGTCGTCGCAATCGAAGGGGTCGGTGTTGTCTGGGAAGAATAACTGAACGCATTTCCGCCCCGGCGTGGCATCGAAGGGGTCGGCGTTGTCTGGGAGGAACGCGTCCGCGTCAACCGTGCCAAGCACACTGGCAGCAGACGCGATCCGCGCCTCCGCCGCCAAAACTGGGGCCATGGCCTTCGGGGCGCCCCGAGCTGGTATGCCCACTCCGACAGGCGAACCGAGCTCGGCTGGAGGAGCGTGGTCAGCGTCGTCACGCGTGGAATCCCCCCGGCGTGTAGAAGGAGCGCGGTCCTCTCGCTGACGGCGCCTGCGGGACCGCTTGCCGTCAGGGTCAGGCTGCCTCTCAGGCCGAGGCGGGTGCGAGAGCCGCTGAGGCCTGTGAAGAACGCGTATCTCGGCGTCGGTGGCGTCGATGTCGGAAGTGACCACAATGGCCTTGTGGTCAGCGCCAGCCGCATAAGCAAATGCAGAGTCCACCCAATAACTGGCAGCATGTGAGATGAGGCAATAATCGAGGATCTGGCGGGGCGGGCGGCCACGCGACCAGGTATCATTGGATGGCGCCCGGACCGATCCTCCAAAAATCTCAGGACACTTCGACCTCTGAAGGTCGCCAGGCAGGATATTCCAATCAGCAGCGATGGCCCAGGGCAAGGGGGCCAGCTCGAGGAACGCACCCAAGTTCAGCAGCTTGGTCTGGTTCGTGCCGCCAAGCCTGTCGCCAGGCGTCGAGTATAATGAAATGATGAGGAGCTCGCGGCGTCCCGGCAGAGAGACCAACAAAGGTACAAAGTCCCAGAAGTCGATGGGCCCTCCAGCGGGTAAGATACCTTTGAGCAGGCCCGCGCCAGACTGCTGATCGGGTCGTTGGGCCAGGTGACGAGAAGAATGCCCCTGGACGTGACGGCGCAAGCCTGATGCGACACCTCCTGCCGCATTCACATGGCGATGAGGTCGTGGTGGGGCCGCCGCCGCCTCCAGCCGCGCCGGTCAGCGAAGTCGATGATCTCCGCTGACTCCTGGTAATGGGTTTCCACAAAGCCAAAAACATCTGGTGCGACGGGGTCGCGCGAGCCGTCGGTGCACAAAGCAAGGTCGTCCTTGATATTATCCCTTGCCTAGGTGCCCCACGTCGTGATATTATTGGAATAGAATTGCAAGTTCCGGGGCGTGCGGGGGCCTGCTTCCTTATGGCGGCCTGCTCGAGCATGCCTCCGGCCACCTAGCTGCGACCCGAAGTCGCCCCGCTTGTCCCCCGAGCCCCAGCCGCCCGAGGCCGCCGGAGGTGCGGTGCTGCCCGCAGCCCCCGGGAGACGTCGGAAATTTTGGCCCGGATCGGCCTGCGCTTCGGCGCCCGCGCCCCAGGCCGCCGGAGGCGCGGCGTTGCCCAGAGCTCCCGGGGGACTCTGGAAATTTTGGCCTGGATCGGCCTGTGCCACCTCGGGGCGTTGGAAGGCCCATGCCAGCTGCTGGATGGTCAACTGCGGCCCATCGCCCCGACCTGAAGGGTTACCTCCGCGGCCGCTCTCCGCCATTCGAAGCCTTGCTGTGGTGCGCCACCTTCGACCTCGCCTCAGCCGACATCTCATCCACTGCGGACTGGTCCACTCCGACGGGCGGTGGCGCTGCCTGTGGCGCCCCAGCCTGGCCAGCAGCAGGGGCTGCCCCGCCCGCGCTAGACGCCCCAGGTTCCTGCGGCGGCGGCGCGGCGCCAGCTGGCTCTGGCTTCTCCTTGGCGTCCTCGGCGTCGCGCCCCTTGGTATCCGCGCCTGCTGCCGCGGCGCCCGCCTCGGCGCGGCGCTTCTTGATGGACATGCGGGCACGGAGAGCCTCGAACTCCCGTTTACGCTCAGCTAGCCCTTTCGCTGAGTGGCCGACGGCCTGGACGATGAGGGCTTCGATATCTTCGGCGAGCGTCCCGTTGAACGCGTTCCGCTGCTGGATCTCCTCGGCGCCCAGGTCGAGGTCCTGCAGGTAGAAGACTTCGCCGTCCTCGAACTGCAGCATGCTCGACAGCGCCGACTCCTCGGTGACCTGCAGGAGGGCAGACAGTTTGATGGCCCTGGCCGTCGCCTCCTGGCGGCTCGGGCGCGCGTCAATGCCAGTCTGAGCCTGGAGTTGCTGCTTGTAGTTGGCGTCGCCGATGGCTGCTTCTTGGGCGAGGCGGCAAGTGTCCTCGCGAGCTTTGTTGAGCCAGTCTTCACAATCGGATTCGTACTGGACAGCCTTCTCCAATGCCTCTTTCGCCTTGCGGGCCGCGACGCCTGCACTCTAAAGCTGTTGTTCTCGTACCAGGGCTGGCCGAACAGGTGGGGCAGGCTTCGCTGGAGGCGGAGCAGTAACTGCGCTGGCCAAGGCCTGGACTTCGGCGGTAGCTCCTGCTGGCAGCCTTTTCTGCAAGCACTGTAGCAAGTGCTCCCTGGTAGGGTCGAACGGCGAGGCGGAGTCCAGCATGCTGAAGGAGGCCGAGGTGTCCCAGTTGCCTTGCGGCCCCATGGTACACGGGCTCGGTTGGCCAGGTGATTCAGCTGGAGGCAGTTGATGCTGCCACCGCGTAGGCGCCGGTTGTGCCCAAGCTCCTTGTGGCGGTAAAAGTGTCGGCACTGAGGTTGCAGAAGGCCTCCGCATTTCCAGCGCGACTTATGATTATGGAAATTCCACTGGTAATGACAGCCAGCGCGAGGGCAAGCCACGTAGCCCAAGCGTTGCTGCGTCTTCTTCCTGCCATCGTGGTCGACGGCCATCGGGTGCACCCGAGGAGCTCACAGGGAAAGGTGGGCCGCCAGGGAGCCCGCTGGGTACTGGCAAAACTGGGAGGGAGCCCAAACCCCTCAGTAAAGACGATATAGGATGTCGGGCGCAAACGCCCTGGCAGTCTGGCACTGCCGCGGACTAACGGTATCCGTGAATGCCAATGCGGACTCAGCCCGCTTAAGCAGAAGTCTTGGGCCAAAATGGTTACGGAGGAGGAGGAGGAGGAGGAGGAGGAGGAGGAGGAGGAGGAGGACTGGTCGCCTAAGCCCTTCGGAGAAACCCTCCACGCGGAGCCCCGTGGCGAGGCGCGTGTCCGCGGCGAGGCAACGCCCTCGCGGCGACGGGCGCCTCGTAGCGAGGCAGCGCCTCGGGCGTGCAGCCCCGGCGGAGCGTCTCCACGGCCTCCTGCCAGGGGTCGGGGGCAGCCGAAAGGGGGGCGTCCATCCTCCTCCCTCCCTACTCCCTCCCTCCCTCTCCCTCTCTCTCCGCCTCCTCCTCCTCCTCCTCATCATCATCTTCATCATCATCATCATCCTCCTCCCTCCCTCCCTCCCTCCCTCCCTCCTCCCTCCCTCCCTCCTCCCTCCTGAGTCCTCCCTCCTCCCTCCCTCCTCTCCTCCCTCCCCTCCTCCCCCCTCCTCCCTCTCCCTCCCTTCTCCCTCCCCTCCCCCATTCCCCCTCTCCCTCTCACTCTACAATTACTCAATATGAATACTACTCTCCCTCTTCCCCTGATGACGTCTTGGGAACATGCGCCCCCCCCCCCCCCGCGTACTGCTTTTTACACACAGGTTCTCACGGAGTTGGGTTTTCGCCAGCATTTGTTTCCAAAATGCTGCTCTCGCTGAGGCGCCAGCCTCATTTTCGGGCCCCGCTCGTTCCGAATCGCGTTCCCGCTGCAGCGCTGGCATCATTTCCGCCGGCACCCGGGCTGCACGCCCGAGCCGGCGCCCGGGCCGGCGCCCGGGCCGGGTCCGGAGCCGGTTCCGGCCCGCGCCGGAAAATCGAGTTCCGAGGCGGCGCCGAAAAAAGGCCATTCTAATACACATTCTTGTTTTTTTAATGCTGAATTTCTTTTTCCGGCGCCCGGGAGGCCTCCCGGCCCGATTCCGACGCCCAGGCCGGCGCCCGAGCCGGCGCCCGGGCCGGACGCCCGAGCCGGCGCCCAGGCTGGCGCCCAGGCCGGGTCCGGAGCCGGTTCTGGCCGGCGCCGGAAAATCGAGTTCCGAGGCGGCGCCGAAAAAAAACCATTCCAATCCAATTTTTTCTTTTGAAAATGCTGTAATTCTGCTTCTGGCACCCGGGAAGCCTTCCCTGGAGTTAGGCTTTCGCTTGCAATTTTCCCAAAATGCTGCTCTCGCTGAGGCGCCGGCCTCATTTTCGGGCCCCGCTCGTTCCGAATCGTGCTTTCGCTGAAGTGCTGGCCTCATTTCCGTGCTTCCGCTCATTCCGAGTCGTGCTCCCGCTGCAGCGCTGGCGTCATTTCCGCGCTTCCGCTCGTTTCGACTCGTGCTCCCGCTGCAGCGCTGGCGTCATTTCCCGTGCCATGCCACGGCATGCAATGCAATGCCAGGTTGATGCTACGCTTCGCGGTGCTCTTCTACGCCATGCCATGCCGTGCTCTACAATGCATCGCGTACCCTTTCGGGATCATCGCCGCGCTTGACATTCGACTGTGCGAGTAGAGAGGGGATCTGCGCCATGGTAAGGGATGGGAGTGAGGGGTAGGATGTCAGATATGACGCGAGCGCACCTAGCTTGCCCTCTCCCTCTCCCCCTCCCCCCTCCCCCTCCCCCTCCCACTCTCCCTCCCTCTCCCTCTCCCTCTCCCCCTCCCCCCTCCTCCCGAACCTCTCCTCCCTCCATCCTCCTCCTCCTCCTCCTCCTCCTCGTCCTCCTCCTCCTCCTTCCTCTCCTCCTCCTCCCTCCTCCTCTCCCCTCCTCCTCCTCCTCCTCCTCCCTCCCGCCTCCTCTCCTCTCTCCACCTCCCTCCTCTCCCCCTCTCCCGACTCATCCTCCTCCCCTCCCTCTTGTTATTCTTCTTCTTATTATTGTTCTTTTATCTTCTTCTTATTATTATTTTCTTTATTCTTCTTCTGCCTCATAATATTACTATTAGTTCTTCTGTTCTTTCTTAGCCTCTCCTCCTCAGTCACTCCCTCTCCTCCCCTCCTCCCCTGCTCCCTGCTTCTCTCCTCCCCTCCTCCTCCTAATCCTCCCCTCTTTCCTCTTCTCATCCCCTTCTCCCCCTCCTCCTCCTCTTCCTCCTCCTCATCCTCCTCCTCCCTCCTCTTCTTCCTTCCTCCTCCTCTTCCTCCTCCTCCTACTCCTCCTCCTCCTCCCTCTCCATCCTCCCTCCTCCCGTTCCTCCCTCCTAGTCCCTCGTCCTTCTTCCCTCGTCCCTCGTCCCCGGTGCGTCCCCGTCCCACCCCCTCCCCCTCCTGCTCCTTCTCCACCTCCTCCTCTCCCTCCCCCTCCATCCTCCTCTCTCTCCTCCTCTCCTCCTCCTCCTCCATCCTCCCTCCTCTCGCCTCCCTAGTCCCTCGTCCCTCTTCCCTCGTCCCTCGTCCCGCGTCCCCCGGTCCTCGTCCCTCGACAATTACACAATATGAAAATACTCTCCCACTTCCCCTGATGGCGTCCCGAAGATGGCCGACCCCCCCCGCGTACGGTTTTTTTACACACAGGATTTACGGGAAACGGGTTTTCGCATGCGTTTGTTTTCAAAATGCTGCTTTCGCTGAGGCGCCGGCTTCATTTCTGCTCCCGAATCGTTCCGGATCGTGCTCCCGCTGCAGCGTGGGCCTCATTTTCGGATCGGTGTTTGGCCTCCGTCGTTCAGGATGGCGTTCTCGCCCCAGCGCGGGCCTCTTTCTCGCGCGCCCATCCGCCCGCCACCACCGCGCCGAACCACCACCACCACCACCACCACCACCACCACCACCACCACCACCAGCATCACAACCACCACCAGCACCACCACCACCACCACCAGCACCAGCACCACCATCAGCACCAGCACCAGCACCAGCACCACCACAACCACGCACACACGCACGCACGCACGCACGCGCACTACGCACGCGCGCGCGGAGCCACAGGTCCGCTACAACACGCGTCCGCGGATAGAGAAAATCAGCGCCATGGTAAGGGATGGGAGGGAGGGGTAGGACGTCAGATATGACGCGAGCGCACCTAGCTTGTCCCACCCCCTCCCCTCCTGCTCCTTCTCCACCTCCTCCTCTCCCTCCTCCTCCTCCTCGGTCACCATTCTCACCATGCCCTCAAAACATAAGCTTATCAACAGACCACCAAACCACCACCACAACCACCACCACCAGCACCACCACCACCATCACCATCACCATCAGCATTATCAGCAGCATCAGCAGCAGCATCATCATCGTCATCATCACCAGCTGCATCAATATCATGATCATCCTCATCCTCATCCTCATCCGCATCCTCATCCTCATCCTCCTACTCATCATCACCATCAGCAGCATCAGCATCACCATCACCATCACCATCACCATCATCATCATCATCATCATCATCATCATCGTCATCATCATCATCATCATCATCATCATCATCATCATCATCATCACAAGCATCAGCATCACCAGCATCATCATCAGCATCATCATCATAACCAGCATCATCATGATCAAAATCATCATCATCGTCATCATCATCATCGTCACCACCATCAGCATCATTATCGTCAGCAGCAGCAGCACAATCATCATCACCACCAGCAGCAGCATCAGCAGCAACAGCAGCATCAGTATAACCATCATCAGCATCAGCATCGCAAGCACTACCATCATCATCACCAGCAGCGTAATCAACATCATCGCCATCGCCATCGCAGTCATCATCATCGTCGTCATCGTCATCAGTCAGCATCATCAGCATCATCAGCATCACCATCATCATCAGCAGCACCATCATCATCATGAGCACTATCGCCACCATCATCAACATCATCATTATCGGTATCCGCCTCTCGGCATCAATATCATCATCATCAGTATCATCATCAGCATCATCATCGTCACCACCACCATCATCATCGTCATCACTATCACCATCATCATCGTCATGAGCATCATCATCACATCATCATCGTCATCGTCACCGTCGTCGTCATCGTCAGCATCAGCATCATCGTCATCATCATCACCATCATCATTATCATCATCTGCATCATCGTCACAACTGCCACCATCATCATCATCATCATCAGCAGCAACATCATCAGGATCAGCATCATCATCGCCATTGGCATCGTTAACCTCATCACCACCATCATGAGCATCATCGTCATCGTCCCTGCTGCAGCCAATCCCTGATGCTATCCCTCCCGATCTGATGCTGTCCCTGCCAATCCTCCGCATCTTTCGATCGATCAGTCACAGGTCGGCTGGACTGGAGAGTCGTTCCACTCCTCCGCCTCCCCCGCTTCCTCATCCTCATCCTCATCCTCCTCATCTCCTCTGCGCGCTCGTTGGGCAAACTATGGGAAAACCGAGATGCCCATACCGATACTCCCCGGACCTCTCAAGGGTTGCGTCCTGACCAGAACTTTGAGGCGAATCCAGCGGTGGCGACGAGGGCCTCCCAGGAGGCTCACAAAGGGGAAAGCGAGCGAAGGTGGCGGTCTGACTACCTCTTCCTTCCCTGAGGTATGCCTGGCTCGTCTTTCACACGGCTGATCGTACTTTTCCTTTTCCTCCTCCGCCTCCGCCTCCTCATACTCTGGCTCCTACCCTTCCACGTCACCTTGCCTTCCTGCTGCACGCGCGTGCTGACCAGAAGCGTTATTGCACGATTCTTCTCTTGTTTTTTTTCCAGCGCGACATTGGGAGAGGGAGGACGAAAGCGAATGAACAGCGCGAACTGGCCTCGTGGTGTAACTGTCACCACTCCAAGATCTTCCCAATGATTCTACACTCGAGGAACAGTCCATCCGCCCCAGGCTGTCCTGCTGGCCTGGCCAATTCCCCCTGGTCTCCGAAGCCAGGCCATGGGGGGCCCTCCTCCTCGTCCTCGTTGGCGCCCCTTGCTCCTGGCAGAGAGCGACCGCGGTGTCGTAGTCCGGCTTCAGAAGCGGCCACTTCAGCGCCCTCTCCAGCTTCTTGACCATCGCCTCCGTCAGGGCATGGCAGAGCGAACGGATGGGGAGGCCGGCTGAGCAAGTAGGAGACCCTCACTACCTTCGAGCAGTCGGCACTCGTCTGTTCAACGCTCTGCTCAGCTCCACGGCGTACCCGCTGTAATTCGACCAGCCAAAGCTACAGACCCGTACCCGTAGGACCTCGGAGAGCTCTCAGGAGCTCCGGATCGCTCTCGTGGACATCCCGATGACACCAGGAGCAATCGAGGGCTTAGGAGGAGGAGGAGATCTGTTTGAAATATCAGGGAAGCGAACATGATGACATGATGGGAAGGAGCGGGAGGAGACGATGTGGGAGAATCTGATGAACGATGGGCAAGAAACATGCAGGCCATTCAACGCAGAACCTCCTCCCGTGCTCCTCTCGCCTTCTTGCCCGTCTGACACTCCCTCCGAAGACATAGGTTTGACTGTGGCCATTCCGCTTCGCATTCCTCCAAGGCAAAGCACTTGAACCGAGAAGGGCAGGCGACCCACGACAAACGACAACCCTCCGACCTTCCACGATCCGACGCTCGTCTCCACATGCGCCGCCCCGAACTCAACGGCAGCGGGAGAAAAGAGACGCGAGAATGCAACCGACAAACCACCCCGATCCGTCTTCCGCCAGCCGGGTTGAGAGTACGAGGCCACGACGGACAGACTGGAGCGGGGGAAACGTCGCTAAGTGTGTGCTCTACTTCGCCACTGGTGGGCGACATCCACTGCATGATTTTGGCAGGTCGTCGGAGTGACACACTGGCAGATGAGCGCAAGGTGCCTGCCTTCTGATCGGCACCACTGAGCCTGAGCGCCCCTGCTCCCCTCGGCGTCGCAGCAAACGAGCGATGTACGTCGAAACTCGGTCGCATCACGCTGTGTCATCAATGATGGCAAGTTGGTAGAGTAGGAGGGGGCAAGTGTTATGTCGGGCGTGTTCCCCTGCAGGGGGATTTTCGACGAACCATCAAAAAATAACCCCGAAATACCCCAAAACGGTCAAACAATACTCAAAACATAGTCCCCATACTATGTTTTGAGCAGTTTTTGGCTGCTTTGGGGGTATTCTTACATTTCGTCGAAAATCCCCCTGTAGGGGGACCAGGCCCGACTTAAGACAGGTGCCAGAAAACAGCATCGGGCTGCAACACTGGCCCAGAACGATCGCGTATGACCTTCCCTGGCCCTCCATGGGTGTTGTACACCGGGCACTTGTACACAGCACTTAGGCTGTAACACTAGGTTGCCCTTCCTTAGGCTGTTTCCCTGTCACTTAGCACCTTAGCACTTGTGATCGCTGTAACACCTCTGCACAAGTGCCAGAAAACAGCTCGGAACGATCGCGTATGACCTTCCCCGGCCCTCCACCGCTCGACGCTCGCCCCAAACACCTGCTGGGGCTCCCAACTTCGCGCTCTCGCGCTCCGCGAAGCGCGAGAGCACGAACAACTTCGCGCTCTCGCGCCGCCACCCTGTAGGGAGAACAGGAGGAGGAGGAGGAGGAGGAGGAGGAGGAGGAGGAGGAGGGGTAGGAGGAACGAGGAGGAGGACGAGGAGGCGAGGAGGACGAGGAGGAGGAGGAGGGGGAGGAGGAGGAGGGGGAGGGAGAGAACAGGAGGACGAGGAGGAGGGGGAGGAGGAACGAGGACCGCGACGCGCGAAGAACTTCGCGCCCTCGTGGGAGCTCTTGCCATAGAACAGCAACAGACAACCTGCACGTACGGCGCGCGCACGTCCGCACAACTCTCATGGGTCGGCGCCGACCCCACGCGGATCGGGCTTGCGCCGCGAAGGGGGGGGGGCCTCCTGGGCAACGCTCAGCGGGGGGCGAGAGCTGGGGGAGGGGGAAAAGAGGTGCCCTTTGGGGGCCCCCAAGAGGCCCCCTCCTGGGCCCGAAAGGGCACCTTGTGGGGGCTCTACAGGGCCCCTGTTTCTGCAGCCCTCCCTGCTCCCCCCGAGTAGCACCCTCCCGTTACGCTTAGGTCGGGCATGTCCCACTACAGGGGGACTGTGGACGAAAAATAGAAAATATTCAAATCATGTTCCAAAGATGCAAAAAAATACAAAAAAATAGTCCCCAGACTATTTTTTGACTATTGTTATACATTCCCCATGTAGAGGGACAGGCCCGACTTGTCCCAAGTAGCACCCTCTCATTACGCGACACCCAAACATCGCCGATCCGGACCAGCGATCATCTCTGTGCAACAGCGTGCCCTTCGAGCACGGACCCTCCCCTCCACTCTGAGAGCCAGCAGGGCCCATAGGCCAATCCGTGAGTTTGGTCGGCGATCAAAGAGAAATCGAATCAGCGGACGTCGGCAGCAACGTCGGGAGGCACGGAATCGGCGGGAACGTCCGCAGCCGGGAACAGAGGCCTCCATGGAGAACCCGGAGGGCGCATCGCATCGGACTCCGAAGTCGCCTCGGAGCCAGAGCCTCGGGAGCGGAGTCGACGTCGACGGCGACACAAATCGATTTGGAGTCCCGAAACGGTGCGGTGACGCACCGTGCGGTGACCTCGAAATCGACCAAGACCTCACCGCACGGTCCGTCACCGCACGGTCTTGGGACCTCGGAGGCCCCCGTCGCCCGAGACGTCCTCGGAGAACGACCCGAGTCCCAGAACCGTGCGGTGACCCCGAATCCCCACCGACTCACCGCACGGTGCGGCCACCGCCCGATTTGGGGGCCCCCGAGAGAAGCCGGAGGGCGCCTCCGACTCCGAAGCCGCCTCGGAGCCGGAGCCTCGGGAGCGGAGTCGACGTCGACGGCGACCCTCATCGAGCGTCGTCGGAGCCGACGAGGAGCCCCCGGGGGGGCCGGCCGCGCCTTGCTGGCCTTCTCCGCCTCCTCCGCCACGGCCGTGGTGTCCAGCACGGCCTGCGCGGCCCGAGGCGGGGGCAGCGCCCGGGGCCCTGGCGGAGGCCGGCACGGCTCCTCCTCCCTCCCTCCTCCTCCTCCTCCCTCCTCCTCCTCCTCCTCCTCCTCCTCCTCCTCCTCCTGCTCCTCCTCCTCCTCCTCCTGCTCCTCCCCCGCAACGGTAGGGTTCGCAAGAGGTCGCCGAACCTGGGGACCTCAGGCGCTGATCCATGAGGGGCGATACACAGGGGGGCGACGAACCGTGCACCTTTCGTATCCCTTTGGGGGCCCCAGGGGGCTCCCTTCAGGAGCTTTCGGGACACACGCTTTCGAAGGTCCGCGCGGATTTCTTGGATCGGCGCTGGACCCCCCCTCCTGGCGCGCGGAGCGCACCAGTGGCGGCTGCATCGCCGATCCAAGAGATCCGCGCGGACCTGCGAGAATCTATGTTTGTGTCATCGTTTGTTCCTCGGACTTACCGCCCTCCCAATACGCAACGCTCGAGAACCTTCGGAGATCTACTGTCCCGGGTCAATCCAGGCCAGGGTCAGTCAGGCATTGCAGGATCCTGCGGGATCCTGCACCCAAGCCCGGGTCAATGCACCCCTGGCTCTGCAGGACCCTGCAGGTCAATGCAGAACCCTGGACCACAAATCAGCATCCTGCAGGTCAATGCACCCCTGGCTCTAGTTAGGTCGGGCATGTCCTCCTAGAAGGCGGATTTTGGAGCAAAAATAAAAATAGCCAAACAAATCTGAAAAACAGTCAATAATAATCGTAACATCGTACCCCGACTATTTTTCCTATGTTTGAATATTCCTCCTGTAGAGGGACATGCCCGACTGAACTCTGCAGGATCCTGCAAGATCCCGCGAACTGGCAGACCCCCGTTTGCAATGCCTACCGTCTCTTGAGCCCCGAGACCACGTGACCCATGTTAGATGATTGTACCATACATACATATAAAATGTGTGGCTGTGTCATGCTTGTGTTCGTTAATTGTTGTATTACGTATGTGTGTTCTGGATTTGGTAAGTTGAGAATATGTGTGTTTTCATTCAGTAATGATAAATAAGATGATCGCGACAAGTTATTGATGCTCAAGAACAGAATACATGTCGGCCGGAAGTAGGTAAAAAACATGCAGTAGGAAGGCGGATAACGTAGATTGCGCTCAGGCCCCCCCAGAGAACAACAACACACGGCGAAAGCAGACCCCGATTGTTGAAGTAGGAAGGCGCTTGAAGTAGATTGGTGTCTGGGAATCCAAACATACCTACTTTCAACGACTGGCGGAGGCGGAGGAGGAGGAGGAGGAGATGGAAGAGGAGGAAGAAGAAGAGGGGGGAGGAGGAGAGACGAGGGAGAAGGGAGGAGGAGGGAGGAGGGAGGGAGGGAGGAGGGAGGAGCAGGAGGAGGAGGGAGGAGGTGGAGGTGGAACAAATGCCTACTTTCAACGACCGGCGTGGAATGCATACATGCCTCCCACGCCGGACCCCGCAGTGCAGCGCGGCGCCTCCGCCTCCACGCCGAGCAGCGCCGCCGCCCCCGCGCGCGTGTGCACCTCCGGCGGCCACAGCAGGGAGCCACCGCCACGCCCCGTGGGGAGCCACACATGGTCACCGTTAAGGAATCGTCTCGAACTCATGGAGAGCACCCGAACATCTTCGGAGGAGGAGGTGCCGCAGGCCAAGTGCCCGTTCCTGCTGAAAGCGACCCCAAGGTTGGCCCGAGGCCGCGAGAGAAAGTGTCGGTAGACATACACTGACATGTGACAAACTCGCGTGTCACAGGTGGAGGCCTCGGGCTCAGGGCTCGGGTCGCACTGCTCTGTGGCCTACGGTGGAGTGCGGATTAGGTGCGCGCAGGCGCTGTCAATTGAGAAGCTCGAGATCTGCATTATGAAGTTTCGAACGTGCTCGTGGTGATAGCAAGTCCGTGCCCTCGCGAGAGCAGGATGGTGGAGGGAGGGGGCCCAGGCATGGGATGAGAAGGTGAACGTGCTCCTTTTCGGCATTTCGACACTGGGCGGAAGGGGGGCTGGGGAGAAGGGGGTCTGGCTCCGAGCCTCTCCCAAGTGCGACTGTTTGCAGCCGTGCGTCCCATGGGGGGAGCCTCCATCTGCTCGAAACAGGCGCCGAAGACAGCCCAAGATCTGCTCCTTGGGGGGGGGGAGGTGCGAGGGCCCGCGCCGACCGGCAGATCAATGAATGAGACAACGACGACGAGTGAGGGACTCGAGGGAGCTTGTGCTTTGCTGTCTTGTGCTTTTGTGGGGGGGGCGAGGGAGGGACTCGAGGGAGCAGCGAAGCGGGAGGGAGGCGGCAGGGGACGCGGCGCCAGGGTCAGGTCGGGCATGTTCCCCTACAGGCGGATTTTGGGCGAACAAATTGGAAAAGTCAAAAAATACCCCTACCATGAGAAACAAAAAACTCCCCCAAAACGTCCCCAAACTATTTTTGGACTATTTTCGAATGTTGCTCCTGCAGAGGGACGTGCCCGACTTCACTGAAGGGGCCCCAGGGCACACAAATAAATACACACAAATAAAATGATTCCCTATATTTTCCTATATTTTCTGGGGTTTTGTCTTCCCGCCCAATTCCAATAGTTTCCCATATTTTCTTGGGGATCGACGATGAATTGTGTCTGTGTGTTTCTTCCCCTCCTGATTGAGGCGGCAGGGGCTGCGGCGAGGGGAGGCGGCAGGGGGGCGCGGCGCGGCGGGCGGGGGGGAGGGCGGGGGGAGGGCCGAGAGCGAAGGGGCCCTGGGACACACAAATTCGCCGGCCCAACGGGCCAGAGGCGTGCTAAGATCTCCGGTAACTACTTAACAATATTTCTAGTTCGCGCGCGGGGCGGCCCCTGGGGGGCCCCGGACGAAAAAACGTACCCCAGCCGATCCCCTTCTGACCCTCGGGCGATCCCCAGGGGGGGACGCTATTTTTCGCTAGCCCTCACGAGGATCGTGGCCTCCGAGGGGAGGCTGCCAACGACTACCCCCCCTCCCGCCCCAAGGGGCCCCCAAGAGCCCCCAAAGAGGCCCCAGGGGAGCCCAATACGCCGCCAAGGAGCCCCAAGACGCTCCCAAGAAGCCCCCAAGACGGCCCCAAGAGGCCCCAAATAGCGTTTCAGGGCCAGCGGAATGAGCGAAGCGATTAAATAAATACGCATAAATAAGAGGATTCCCCATGTTTTCCCGCATTATCTGGGCTTTTGTCTCCCCCCCCTTCCCATATTTTCCCATATTTTTCCTGGGGATCGACGATGGCTTGTGTCTGTGTGTTTTCCCCTCCCGAGAGAGGGGACACGAAGGAGGACCGCCGGAGCACGGCCAGAGCTGCGGCAAAGGCAGGCTCGCGCCATGCCGCCCTCGCCGCTCGCAACCGACACCGCGGGCGTTCGACCCCGAACGAGCGGCCGCTTCCGAAGCTTCTGAGCGTCCTCCTCCTCCTCCTCCTCCTCCTCCTCCTCCTCCTCCACCCGCCTCTGCCTCCTCCCTCCTTCTTCAAGATTCTCCGATCCTGGATCGCCGGCGGCGCTCAACGTTGAACGCCGGCGGCGGGGTCGCCGCCGGTCGACGCGGCCCGAACCTGCCGCAAGGATGCGCGATAAGGATGCTCGCCCCGCATTTCGAAGCTGTTCGAGAGGGGCCGGCCATCGGAAGTGGTCAAAGCTGAACCGAAGAGGCAAGGATGCAAGGATAACTATCCCTGGGAAGGTTACTCCATTCTAACCAGGGGCTTCGACTGCACCCGTCGGCCGGAAAAGGTGGGTATACACATGAAGTATAGGAGCGCGTTGGAAATAGGCCTGATCTTCCCCCGTCCCCCGCGGGAAGAGGGAAAGCACTCGATCCTCGAAGTAGTGGAAGGCGCCTGAAGAGCAGACTGGGATCTGGGAGTCCGGAACAACCCAACTCCGACGACCGACGTGTACAAAAGAAGAAAGAGCGACATAAACATAAACTCTTGGCGCTGCGCGCGGCTTTCTTGGATCCGCGCTGGACCCCCTCCCTGGCGCGCGGAGCGCGCCAGGGGCGGCGCCGGAGGCGCCGCCGGGGGGGCCCCGGCGCGGATCCAAGAAATCCGTGGGGAGCGCCAAGAGTTTATGTTTATGTGGTTCTTTCTTCTTCGAGCGCAAGGGCACTGGAAGTCCTGGGAGGGGGGGGGGCGCCGGGCGGCCCAGGCGCGGATCCAAGAAAGCCGTGCGGACCGCCAAGAGTTTGTTGATGTGTTTTTGTTCCTTCGAGCGTGTGGGCACTGGGATGAAGGGGCCCTGGAAGACGCAAATTAAAAGGATTCCCCATATTTCCCTATGTTTTCTGGGTTTTTGTCTCCCCCCCTACTTCCCATATGTTCCTATATCTTCTGGGGGGTCGACGATTCATTGTGTCTGTGTGTGTGTTGCTTCCCTCCTGATGAAGGCCATGGGAGGGGGGCGGGGGAGGAGGCGCCTCCGCGCCCAGGACCTGGAGCAGGTCCCGGCAGGCGTCCACCGCGTCCTGCCCGCCGTCGCCGAGGGTGGTCTCCAGGGCCTGGCCGCAGGGGCCACGGTCGGAGGCTGGGCAGGGGGGGGGGGGGGGGGGCAAAGTCAGGCAAGAGGCCCGGGGACACACAACAAAAATACGCACCGACCCCAGGATTCCCCTTACGTTTCCATGTTTTCGGGGTTCTGGTCGTCCCCCCCACTTCCCATGGTGCCCCATATTTTCCCGGGAGTGGACGATGAAATGTGTCTGCGTTTGTTCCCCTCCTGGGTTGGGTCGGGCATGTCCTCCTATAGGTAGATGTTGGACAACAGGGAATCAACAAATTATCCCAGTGCGACCCTACCTAGGAGTTGGAGCCTCTAGGAAAGCAGCATTAGTAGGAGCGGTGAGCTGTGCTACTGCTGCTGCTGTATTGCCTTTGCTTTGATGCTATGCTATGCTATGCTATGATATGCTATGCTGCGCTATGCTGCGCTATGCTGTGTTATGATCTGCTAGGGTATGCCAGGATGCGCTATGTTATGCTAGGCTATGCCATGCAATTCTATGATGCGCTACGCTATGATATGCTATGCTTTGCTATGCTATGATATGCTGCGCTATGCTATGCTATGCTAGGCTGTGCTAGGACATGCTATGCTGCGCTATGCTATGCTATGCTATGCTATCTTATGATATGCTGCGCTAGACTACGATATGCTATGCTATGCTGCGCTATGCTATGATATGCTATGCTATGTTATGCTGCGCTATGCTATACCATGCTGTGTTATGCTGCGCTGTGCTACGCTAAGCTAATATATGATATGATATGTTATGCTATACTGCGCTATGCTATGATGTGCTATGATATGTTGCGCTATGCTAGGCTGCGCTATGCTAGGCTATGCTATGCTATGATGTGCTATGCTATGCTATGCCAATGCTGCGCTGCGCTAAGCTAAGCTGAGCTAGGCTAAGCTAAGCTAAGCTAGGCTAGGCTAGGCTAAGCTAAGCTAAGCTAAGCTAAGCTAAGCTAGGCTAGGCTAAGCCAAGCCAAGCCAAGCCAAGCTAAGCTAGGCTAAGCTAAGCTAAGCTAGGCTAAGCTAAGATGAGATAAACAACGCTAAGCTAAGGGGACGTAACTGGGGGAACCACTGGGCGGATCCTGGGGGAACCGCCCGGGGCGATTTGCACTGCCCGGCCCCTTTAAGCATATAGGGTAAGAACCCTTCTAGGCAGAGCCTAAGTAGGGAAAAACATCAAAATAGTCAAAAAAAGCATGAAACATCGTCACAACATTGTTTTCCTATTTCTGGATATCGCCATGTAGAGCTACGTTGCTCCAATAATATTTAAGGGCCACATCGCAGAAATAATTTCGAGCACCCGGAAAAGTGTAGAAAGAGTATCGAAACCCTCGAGTTCCGGTACTTATCTGGTGCTCCAACTTCTTTCCCGTGGTCGAGGCTACAGTGGGTTGGAACATCCTAACCATAGGCGGATTTTGGACAAACGAGAATCCACAAGAACATCAACATAGTCAAAACAGCATGAAACATCATCACCACATAAGTTGTTACTATTATTGAATATCACCCTCTAGGGGGACATGCCCGACTTAAGGGTAGACGGGGAGGCACGCATTGCTTTCGTTCTGCGCGCAGGGCTCAGGAAGGCAGGAGTGGCACAAGCACGGGAAGCCTGAGGCAGCTGGGGAAGCCTGAGGCAAGACACGGATGCAGATACGGCGGAGGAGCAGGGATCGGCGGTGGACAAACCTCCCTCTAGTAGACCTCCCCTTGATGAAAACGGCCTGGGACCAAAACCGACGGACCTGGACCCGCAAAAATGACGGCCGCGACGCCCTCTCGCGAACCGAAAACGGCCAATTCACTAATCGACGTGTCAGGGTAGGAGGTCTATCAACCTCCGAAGGGAGGAGGAAGAGGAGGGGAGAAGCAGGAACGAACCGAGGAAGGAAGGGGAGACCGGACGAGAGCGGTTCCATTTCAACTCCTTTCAGGGCCGAACGCGCCCCACCCCCCTCCAGTCTGGTTCTCAGAGGGCGGGCTGGAGGGCGAGGGTCGAACCAAGCACCCCCGCAGATCTTCTCAGCACGACCCAGCTCGACGCGCGAGGCAGCTGTGCTCTTGACGTGGCAGGGCGCCCTGTGGCTCTCTGCACGAGCCACAGAGCGTCCACGCTCAATCGCACCTTCTCGCTGGGTCGCCAGCGCCAGGCGACGAAGGGAGAGGCTCCGGAACGACCGACAACAAGCGTCCAGCCACCATCCTGCAAAGACGAGAGTGACACACCGCCCTCAAATCACAGCTACAATCCAAGATGTAGCAACATCAAACATTACCCCAGTGCGACCCTACCTAGAAGTTGGAGCCCCCAGGAAAGCAGCTTTAGTTGCTATGATATGCCATGCTATGTTGCGCTATGCTATGCTATGCTATGCTATGCTACGTTATGCTATGCTATGCTATGCTGCGCTATGCTATGCTATGATATGCTAAGCTATGTCATGCTGCGCTGTGCTATGCTAAGCTATGCTAAGCTATGCTATGCTATGATATGCTAAACTGTGATATGTTATGATATGATATGCTATGGTATGCTGTGCTATGCTAGGCTATGCAATGCTAGGTTTGGCTATGGTATGCTATGATATGCTATGCTATGCTAATGCAGCGCTGCGCTATGCTAAACTAAGCTAAGCTAACCCTCTAGGCAGAGCCTAGGTAGGGAATGTCACCCATGCTAATCTGCTATGCTGCGCTATGCTATGCTATGCTGTGTTCTGCTAAAGCTCAGCAAAGCTAAGATGAAGGTAAGCTAAGCTCAGATAACCCTGAGCTAAGATGAAGCTAAGCTAATATAATATGAACAACAAGCTAAGCTAAGATGAACTAAGCAACGCTCAACTAAAGGGACGTAACTGGGGGAACCGCGGGGCGGATGTCGGGGGAACCGCCCAGGGCGTTTTACACTGCCCGGCCCCTTTAAGCCCAGAGGGTAAGAACCCTTCTAGGCAGAGCCTAGGTAGGGAACAACATAGAGGGAAACAAGAGGTACCCATACCGCTACTCCCTGGACCTCTCCTGGGGTGCGCTCTGACAAGGATTTCGAGACGAATCCAGCGGTGGCGACGAAGGCCTCCCAGGAGGCCCCCCAAAAGGAAACATGGCGGCGGGTAGCGGTACGGGTATATTTTCCTCCTCTGGCAGCACATCGGGAGAGAGGCTATCCAGCCGCCAGCCAAACCCTTCAGAAACAGCTGAGGCGTCCGCCAGGAACGGCGTCTGCAACAACTCTCCCCGCGCCGTCTCCCGACCCAAGCATGCGCGAAAGGTTCCGAAAAACATCCTGGAGGCCTCGCGAGGCAACCTGAGGACAGAAGAACACTTCCCAAGAGCACGAGACCCTCCGCTGGCCAAACACCCAGACCACAAGATCACACGAGGGCACCCACCCCTGGGATGCACAAGTCCATACGACAAAGACGAAGAACACTAGGCACCCTCCCCGAGCCGACCTCGATCGTACACCTCCCTCCTCCTCCTCCTCCTCCTCCTCCTCTTCCTCCTCCTCCTCCTCCTCCGACCGTACGCCGGATCCGCGTCGGATGCTCCGCGGGCTCGCGCCAGAGGCAGGGCGGACTTTGGACGGGGGCATCTCCGCACGAACGCCTCTCACGGGGCGAACCTGTGGAACCCGAGGAACTGGGTATCGCTTCACCGATCCCCATCCCCACCAGCGTGGGCTGGGCCCCGCTGGCCGATTTGCCCCCCTAGATGGGTATATAGGCAGTATCCTTGGGGTTTCGAGAGGTGCATCCCCAACTGGGGGTGTGATTTGGTGAAGGTCTCGAAGGGGATGATCATGGGGATAGGGATCGGTTCAACGATACTGAGGTACAGTGCGGACGCGGCCGCAAAGATCCTCGCACAAAAATCAAAACCTAACAACCTGCGCGAGAGAGGCACACGAGAGCCAACAAGGAGCGAACCTGAGCGAACCAAGAGCACCCAGAGCGGACGCAGGGAAGTCACCGTGCAGCGCGCGCAGCGAGGACACCCAGGGCACCCTGACGAAAAACATATGGTTTGAGCGTGATTCTTTATTTTCGGCGATGATGGGCATCATAGGGGGGGGGGGCAGGGGGGGGTATCATGTAGCGCCTCCCCCCCGCCGTGCGCGTGCGCACGGCGGCAGTGCCCGGAGCGCTCTGGAGGTGGGAGGGGCGTGAATTACGTTATTAGGGGGGGGGGAGGGGGGGGGCCAGGGGCTGTAATGCCCATTCTGCCCCAAGCAGCAAAGGAACGCGCTCTTTCTTGGCACGCGTCCCCACTGCACCACACCTGCCCGCCGCGAGGCCGCCAGGCTGCTCCTCGCGGGAAGGGCACCCGATGTCGCCCGGAGAGAGAGCATCCCGGCTCGGCCAGGCGCCCCGCCCCCGGAGGCCCGCGGTGGGCCGATCGGATCCGAGGGCGCTCGGGAGGGGGGGGCAGGTTCAGGGCAGTTTTTAATACATAGGAAGTTTAAACACGTAGGATGTTTAATGCATGATTAAATGTATGGATGAAGTCGCGTTGCTTCTAATACTAAATCCATGCATTTAATACATGACCCGCACGCGGAGCATGTATCAAAAACGGCACTGTAGAGTCAACCCGTAAAGCAAGGACGCACGAAGAGGATGCACAGGCCTTGGAGGGCCATGTCGACACTCTGCGAACGGGATGCGGCCCGCGAAAGCAGTCAAGGATGAGCCGAATGGGAAAGATGAATGGGTAACCTTGGAAAGACGCTCATCCCTACCGTGCGGGTTGACTGTAGAGGGGAAGGGGTGGGGGAATGATGAATACGGATTGTTGACTAATCTGCCTGGTGTACAAGCGGACCGCCCTTTGAAAGTCCTCCGGACTTCTATGTGTCTTGTCAAACAGGGGACACCCTTCGTCTGGGGGCGCCCCCAACTCGTGACCCGTTGCTGGAGGTTGAAAGCCAGGGGGGGCCCTGTCTAGCAGCCCCTCCTCGCTACGAACCTACAGGAGTGGTACCCCAGAGTGGGGCAGCCCCTTCAGGGGGTGAGGAATAAGGAGCAGGAGCAGGGCAGGATGAAGATCATACGAAGCAGGAATAGGGAGGGGGGCCAGACGCTACGAATTGGTTAACACCTGCAACCGCATCGCTGTAATACTTCCATTCCTAGGCACACTGAGCAATGTGAGCGTTTACAAGAAGGCACCTGAGCGTGGACGCCATACACATAGATTTCGAAAGCAAGGTGATACAACAAGGGCACGATTCGATTCGCACGTTGATTCGATTGTTGAGTTGCACAATACTGCAATGCGCATAGCTTTCGATTCGCACGTTCAAACGCAATCTCACACAATAAAGTGAGCACACCCCAGAGACGTGTGTATATATATATATATATATATACTGGGCCGTGGCAGGTATCTGAGCTGGGCCGGGATGGCGACACGAAGCTGGCAGCAATGCAGAATTTCGCACGGATGCAACTGGAATCAGAACACGAGGGCAACCAACGCAGTGCCTCCCTCGAACTCTCCAGGCGTGCAAACGCCGCCGTGTACGCAGGCTTGTCCACGTCGTCGCTCTGCTTGTCCGGGTGAACCTGTGGACTCGCGGACGGAGGAGGAGGAGGAGGCGGAGGAGGAGGCGCAGGAGGAGGAGGCGGAGGAGGAGGAGGACGACGAGAAAGAGGAACAGGAGAGGGAGGGGGAGGAGGCGGAGGAGGAGGAGGAAAAGCGAGGGCTGATACTGCTGCCCACGGCGCATCGGATGTTGTTCCCGCGGATGTCCGCCAACAAGGCTCGCGCGCCGACTGGAAAGACAACGACACTGCGAGGGGGGGGTCGAGCAAGGGGTCGATATGAGGAGGAGTAAAGAAGAACCTGCCCTTGGCGAGACATGCCCTCTCGTATGTTAGATGGCAGAAAATCCACCCCGATCATAACCACGCCGACACGCGAAGCCGTTCAGTAAACGCACCCAGAGAAGGAATCAAAGAGGGTAAGGCTGTTTAGTAAACGCCCAAAACCGTTTAGTAAATGCCGATTGTCCGGTCCGTGTGGTTTTCCTCCCTTGACTTGGCACCTCCTTTCCATGACTATACCAGCTGAAACCATTACCACTGGTCCGGTGACTGGTTCGTTTCCCTGCAAACTATCGCATCCCGAGCACGTGGCACCAGTGGGTGCCCAACAACTCTTACAGCGGGTATGACTGCATGGCTGGCAGCATGCGTAGAGGCTCGCGCGCTGGCTTCGCGGCTGACATGATATTCATGCCACGTGGAGGGCGGAGGGCGGCTTGGGAGAGGCGCCTGACCAGGAAGGAACTCTGCAGATGACGGTGGCGAGGCTTGCCACGTTGGACGACGTGCTGGCCACACAAAGGCGTCGCACTCAGTGTGATTGCGAGGTGGACGCAGTGGAGGCAGTGGAGGCCAAGGCGTGGCTGCTGCTTGTTCGGTCGCACGGCCGCGCAGAGACCTCGAAGCCGAGCAAACTCAGCCGATGCCGCCGCCGCCAAGCCTGCCCCGCTATGAAGCAGCTGCTAATGGAAGTCGACCACTCGGCCGCCATTAACTTGAGCCCCCAGCGGACCGAGCACAAGGATGTGATACGACTCGAGCCACGCACTGGAAATCCGCCGAGACGCTGACGGAGCAGGAGTGCGATGTGGACGGCCGAATGGGTAAGAAAAAAAGGGACACGATGCCCAACAACAAGCGCTGTTCAAAGCCGACAGTGGCCGCTGTTGGGCAGGCGAGCTTGCGTCGCAAATGGGCAACGACCGCGGCGACGCCGACAGCGAATCCCGCCCAGAATAAACAAGAATCGATGCTCGATGTTATACCCATGTTTTCCGTACCCATTTCTTAGATGCTCATTCTGGGGACCTTCCCTGGGCCACTTGCTCCACTCGTGCATCGAAGCTGCGTCGAACGTCCGCCGACCAGAGTCGAACTTGAGTCGAACCTCAGTCAAACCTGAGTCGAACTGAAGACGAACTAGAGTCGAACAGATACGGTAGGTGGGCGCCAGGAAGGTCCCCCAACGAGCATTTTACATTTTGGTCCCCTCCCCGATGGTCGCCGAGAAAAAATGCACATGGTCCGAACGATGCCAAGAGTAAGACAGAAACGACCAAACGAAAAAGACGAGACCGATTTGAAATTTGACGCGAACTCCCGCTGCAAACATCCCACGAGCACTGGACCAACAAATTCGAGGACGCGCTCGTAAAAAAACTTCGGCAAACCCAAGTTCGGGAGTATGCTGCTCCCAACGTACTTGAGGACCACATCCCAGAAATCATTTTAAGCACCCCGATCAGTATCGAACCAATGTCAAACGAGCATCGTCTCCCAAGGCCAAACACGTGAAAACCGTCCCGCTTCGGTACTTTCTTGGCGCTTGACATTCTTCCTGGCGATCAAGGCTAGAAGTAGGCTGGAACATCATACATTCCGGCTTACTCGAGTCTTACGGTGGGCTTTTTTTGTCGGCGTTTCGACATTGGGAGGAAGAGGGGGGGAGTGGGGGGGTCCGGCTCCGGACCTCTGCTTAGTGCGACTGTTTCCGAAAGTGAGTCCTGTGGAGAATGGACTACACCTGCTCGAAACATGCGCAAAAACAAGCCAAGATCCACTCCGTTGGGGGGGTGATGAGGGGGGGGGCTGCGAGGGACCGCGCCGATCGGCAAAACGACGAATAAGAAAACGATCACACGCGAGGGGCAACGACAGGGGGGGACGGGCACAGGGGGGATGCATCGACCTGGAATCGGCGATACATCGCCGATAGATCGGCGATGGGCCTCCGAGAGTGAATCCGCACCTTCCGGGGCAGGCTGGGGCCATCGGGCCCCTGTCGGCGATCAATGGGCGATTGGGGGTCGATGCACACCCCCTATGCCTATCCTTAGGTCGGGCCTGTCCTACAGGGGGATATTGGACGAAAAATTGAACAAAAAACTCAAACAATACCCAGAACGATGCCCAAAAATATTCAAAAAATACTCCCCAGACTATTGTTTTACTAGTTTTCAAATATTCCCCCTGTAGAGGGACGGGCCCTACTTGAGCCCATCCCCCACCGTCGCTGCCCCCGAACGCGCCTCCCCGAGGTCTGCCTTCTCCCCCGCTCTGCTCGCCCTCCCGCGACACCACCTCTGCCCCCCCCCCCCCTCCCCCCCGGCCTCCGCCTGCCTGCCCGGAAGGGGTCTCCCCGTCGCTCGGACGCCCATTCCCTGTGCGCTTTTTTTTTTTTTTTTTTTTCTCGGTTCTCGCAGGATGATCCAGGCTACTCCTTGATAATCCCCGCCGAGAAGAAGTGCACCCGTCCGAGCGATCCCAAGGGGGTCTACAACCCAGAGGCCTCCTAGATGGGCTCCGAGCAGCTGGGGACGAAGGATCCCTCCGCATCGCCGATGCATCGGCGATGCGTCGCTGATGCATCGCCGACGTCGGCGACGCATCGGCGATCGGCGACGTCGGCGTGGAGAACATCGGGCTCCGCATCGAGCCGCGTCGTCGATGCATCGGCGATGCGGCGCGATCCTCCGACGCCATCCACTCCGACCCCATCTGGGAGGCCTAGAACACCACAAGTGAAGAGCTCGGCCCCGTGATCCTGACAGCTCTTGCTTGTGCAGGCTCGCTCCGCGAGCTCTCGGCGGCCACGCGGCCTCATCAGACTGGCCTGGGCACAGGCAGCTATGGCACGGCCCTCCTCCCAGCCCAAGGCCCAAGCCTCCTCACCCTTTTGAATGTTTCTTCTTCATATTATTATTTTTCTTCAGCAATGAGTAGGTTTCGGTCAGGCGTGTCCTCCCCAATCCCCCCCTTTCGTCCGGCCCGAGATAGGCAAACTCCTGCAGGGAACCCTGGCCCCTCCGCTTCCCCCCCCGGCTCCTCCTCGGCACCGTGCAACGACTCGCTCTCCGGCCCCTGGTCAGTGCTGGACCTAAAGGTTGATTTTCGTTTTGTTTTCGTTTCGTTGTTCGTTTTGCTCTCCCTGTTTGCCTGCCTCTCTGCTAAAACGAACAACAAAGCACAGCCGAAGTCCAGCAAAACAGCGTTAAGGTCCAGCCCTGCTGCTTGTCCTGCCCCTGCTCCTCGTCCGCCCCTTTCGGGTCGCGCGGACCGGGGGGAACAGTAAGACGAAGCCAGGACGAGGACAACATCGGGTGAGGATGAATCGAGAAACTCTGAGATCCATCGGCTCTGGAGGGTGTCTTAGGCACCCGCGGCCTTGTCGGAGCGTTCCGGAGCGCTCTGAGCGCGTTCCGTAACGCTCTGGAACGGACTCATCCTCGTCCTAGCCCCGTCCGAGATAGCTCAGGGGGGGTTGGCAAACCAGCTCACGTGGCTGATTTCCCCGGCGCCTCCCAGCGCTGGAGGCGCCCTGCATGGAGGAGTGGGCCTGGCGGCGGGCCCGAAACCAGCTGCGTGCAGCAGATTTGTCGTAGCACCACCTTCCCTATCTCTGGTTGACCCAAGAGGGGGTCCAGCGACAAGGGGGTGGTGCAATAGATTTGGTGCACGATTTGTGGGTTGCAATATAGTTTTGGGCCGTGCAATGCGTCCCGGGGCGCAAATGTATTGCTTGATTTTCGGGTGCAATACATTAGCTGTAGTACAATGCAATGCAATTCTTTGGCGCAGTACATTTGCAATACAATTGCCCCGAATCTATTGCACCACCCCTTTTCAGCTGGACCTACTTTTGGGTCAATCAGACTATCACCCCCTTCTCGTTCGGCCCGACCCTTTCCCCTGCTCCTCCGGCCCCCTCGGCAGGGAGATCGGCCGCGGGGCCCAGGAATCCGACGCCGTGATTTCTCCCTCCGCGGGCTCCCTGGAAATCTCGACCCCTTCCCCAGGACAGTTTTTTTGACGGTCCCGGGGCCCAGCTAGGGCCCCTGGAGGCCGAAAGTTGTGAAAAGCCTACGTCTTGATTTCTTCAATGCGTTGGCTCCTCCTCCTCCTCCTCCTCCTCCTCCTGCTCCTCCTCGTCCGCGGGCCAGGACAAGGCCGGGAGCCTTCAGCGCGAGCTTCCGGTACGCGGTGCGCACGGCCTTCTCGTCCAGGGGTGCCCCGGGCTCCAGCTGGAGCACCTTACTTTGGACGCCCGAAATGGGTACTGAAAGAATGGGTACACTGCCCAACAGCAAATGTTGTCCCAAACCAACAGCGGCCGCTGTTGGGCAGGCGGCCTTCTGTCTCAAATGGACACCGTCCGCGGCGACACCGACAGCGAGTCCTGTTCAAAATGAATAGGAACAGCTGTTGGGCATTGTACCCATTCTTTCCGTACCCATTTCGGGCGTCCAGACTTATAGGAGTTGCTGACCGCCCCCCAGCAGCGGATGCCAATAGCTGGGCGCGCACGTTGGTATGCCTTCCCAGACATGGTCGCGTCGTCAAAAAATCAGGACGGGAGGTTTTCGGCTCTTTTCAGCCCCGGGGGGGCCTCGCCGGGCCTCGGGACCGTCAAAAACGACTCAGGACGAAAACCTGGCCCCGGGGAGAGGGTCGGGACTTCCAAGGACGCCGTCATGAAAAAATCAGGGCGTCGCATGTCTAAACTCGGATCGATACAGTCGACATTTATCGTGAGGACGGGCGGTAAGGATGCAAGGGCCCTGGCCGCCGAGTTTGGCACTTTTTTGGGGCGGCGTGCTGCCAACACCCTGTAGGGCTGGCGAGGGAAAGCCGCGGAGGACGGGCCGCAAAGGCAAGGATGCACGGCACCCTGAAGAAATCCGTGCGCCCTGACTACGAGTTCTGACTGTGCAGATGAACACGTGCAAGTCTGGTTGACTGGCACGGTCCATCGAGTCGAGGCTTGAGGGACTTCCTCTGCCCTGTGATTGTGCTGCACCCGATCATGTTCCACCAGACGATTCGAAAATAATCATGCCTGTCCTGGGCCAAGGAGAAGAGGCTGGTGTAGAACCCCGCCAACCCAGGCCAGCCGATACCAAGTACATCGCACCATTCCTTAATGCAGATTGGCCGTGGCCACGGGTTGTGCCAGCTCTTCATGGGCACTCCCTGGTAACAGCCTTCCACAAACCCGCCAAGTCTGTCGACCCTGCTCTACATGATGTACTCCTGATCCCCGTCGACAAGCCACGTGATCCTGCCAAGCCCCCATCTGCTTGGAGTCCTTCTTGCCCGCGCACGCCTTGGCCACAAAAGAACGTGTTGACTACCTCATCGAATGCCATACCCGTGCCCAGCATCGTCCAGACAGGCTGCCTGAGCCAAAACCAGTTGTGGCGAGGACCCGACCCCCTGGGGGGGAAGCACGACGAACTTCACTCGCAAAACAAAAACTAACATAGTAAACGTAAACTTTTGAATCGGCGCGCGGCGTGCGCCCGAGAGCGGCGCTGGAGGTGCCGCCAGGGGGGGGGCGAGCGCCGATCCGAGAAATGCCATAGTTCCTGATGGGCCGATCCCCCACCACCACAACCATATGTAGGAGAGGGAGGAGGAGTGGAGTGGAGTGGAATGGGGCGAACCCAGAAGCGATCCACTGGGAGTGGAGCCCCAGGCCGCCCTGTCGGCAACGGGTGGGCGCCAACCCACAGGGACGGATCGGCACGGGTTCCCCTGCGAAGTGGCTGCAGGCGTCTAGAGCCAAAGCCGCGCGTCACCTAAGGCTGCAGGCGTCAAAAGAAACAATCACACAGCGCAGCCAGACTGACGCGCGCCACAGAGGCTGCAGGCGTCAGGGACGTTCTGACGATTTCGAGGCCTCACAGAACGGCGCGCCGCCGCCCCAAAAAACCACCCGAGGGGCACCACTCCCTCGGGGACAACCCGCCCTCGCGCACGCCACGGCGGGGGACCGTGGCCGTGCTGGGAATGGGCGGGGATCCTCCGATGAGCCCCCCCCGCATAGGGGACCCGCGACATCTCCCGAACCCTGGCGGAGTACCACGTGGGCCACCGCAAGGGTGTCGCAGCAAAACGTGGCATCAACCCACAACCCAGGCACGGGAACACGGATGGAAAGGCCGCGCACTGGAGCCCTGGACTGTCCCCGCCCGCCGCAAGGGCGAGTCGGAAACAGCCCGAGGCCCCAGGCACGACGCTTCCCCCGTGGCGCAGGCTGGGACGGCCTACGACTACCTTTTCTCTCCGCCAGGGTCAAGGAGCACTTGGGGTGACGAACGGGAGGCGACCCGCCTGTTTTCCTGGGGAGGGATCCCAGTGGCACAGGTGCCGGAGAGGGAGGAGGAGGAGGAGGAGGAGGAGGAGGAGGAGGAGGAGGAGGAGGAGGAGGAGGCGGAGGAGGAGTTCGGGGAGTTCGGTCGGGACGCTGTCCCGTCCGCCCGCCGCGCAGTCCCGCGGCGGGCGCGCCGCGCGCCCGCGGCCGATCCTTGCGTCTGGGCGGCCCCTTGTGGGCCCCCAGACCTTCTCTCTTTGCGCCTGGGCGGCCCCATTTGGGCCCCCAGACCTTCTCTTCTCCTTTGCGCCTGGCAGCCCCCTTTGGGCCCCAGACCTTCTCTCTTTTCTTTGCGTCGGGCAGCCCCCTTTGGGCCCCCGGCCTTCTCGTCTTTGTATTTGCATCAGGGCTGCCTTTGGCGCCCTGATCTCCTCCCCTTGTCTTTGCGACGAGGCGGTCCCTTCTGGTCCCTCGCCCTTCACGTTCTTATCTTTAGCCTTTCCTGAACTCCTTCGTTTGCGATCTATTCCAAACTTCTGCGAGTCTATCAGCAAAACTACGACGGTATGTCACCCAAGGGCCGGGTACCGTCTGCCTCGGCTGAGGTGACCAGTGCCTTGACACCCACGGGGATCTGTCCAGCACGTGGCGACGAACCCTCCAGTTAGCCTACTGGTTCTCAGTTGGCGGGGCGGAGGGCCCCCTGAACAAAGCCTTTCAATGTCTCTCCACTTGGCTCTGGTAGGCCTTCAGCTTGTGTTCCATCCCTTTCGATGCTTTCCTTTCGCATGGTCCCTGCAGCTTGCGGCTTATTATTTGAATGGTGTTCGCCTCGGGCCTGGCCACACTTGCTGCGCAATACCAGCAGAACCATCTCCTCGCTCTCGTTGCGTGCCGCATGTCGTGGGGCGGGTGTGAAGCTGCCGCCCCTGCCATGATCTGGCGTCTTTCGAACCTCGCTTCTTCTGTTGCATCTATGCACTTTTTCTTCAGCCATTATTTGAATACCTTTTTGTTGGGTCCGTATTCTACGCACGATTCAGCACACTTGCAGCACGACAATTTGCCTTTGGTTCTGTCAATACTGTGCGTGGTACCCTCAAGCAGCTTCTCGATGTCCTCTTTGGATTGCCTTTCTCCTTTTTTTCTTTTGCCTTTTGTTCTCGTCGAAGCTGTTTCTCGTCCATCGTCATGGATGGGGTCTCTTGCTATGGCTTGTGTTGCAGCTCGGCATATACGTTTGCGTATAAGGAAGCCGACCGCGTTGGCCCAGTTGTAGCATTCCTGCCCATTCTTGGGGATGCTGTGCTGTTCCGCTGCCTCGCCTGCCAGTGTGTCCGCGTTTTGTTGCCTTCCCAAGCTGGCCTTGGGTACTGCTTCAACTGCGCCTCTTCCCATTCCAAGTGGCTCTCGACGTGCTTGACCTGGATGTGTGCTTCTCCTCTGTACTTTATAACTTGCCCCAGCTTCTTCCACCGGTCGCCGTTCGCCCCGATGTAGGCCTTGTTCAGGTACCTTTGCTTGCGCCACCCTCTGCACAACACATCCGAGTCTGTCCAGAACGTGATGTCTCCCGTTGAGTGTGCCAGGGCGTCGATCATCGAGTACATCTCCGCGCGGTGGTTGGTCTGTCTTGCTCCTGGTAGCGGTCCACTGCGCTCTTCCCCGATGGCCACGCTGTGCTCGTTGATGGCGGTCTATCCCCAACCGCATCTTCTGTGCCGTCTGTCGTCCGCCTGAGCTCCACCGCTGCCGTCACCGCAAATGCAGAGTGGGTGTTCTTCGCTGCCGTGTAACTTGCTTTTGTCTGCTTCTTCTTTTGGAAGGGGGAGTTGTAGCGTGTCCTCTGTCGAGCATGCCGCGGGCGCGGTCCAGCTGGCGGGCGGTGTGCCTCTGAGCCATAGTGCTGGAAGAGCTGCTACTCCTTCTTTGGCCCGCTCCACCAGGTGGTCCGTGGCTCTGTAGTCTTTGTGATCGCTTTGTTCGCAGTTCTCCCAGATGCGGTGGTAGTCTGCGTCCTGCGCCCCGCACCTGCATGTTCCTGTAGCCCCGAATGCCTCTGCCTTTCTCGCTCCAGTCCAGGTACCTCCACAGACCGCCACGAGCAGGGCCCCGTATTCCTTGTACTTCTCTTTCTTCGTTCGCATGTTGATCTGCTTTTTTGACGTCTGTGAAGTCCGCTCCATGCTCGAGGCCTTTCCCGTTGTGGTGTCTCGAAGCCTTTGCCCAGATGTTGCGTTCCGCGTCCTTCATGATGTGGTCGATGACATCTGTCGGGTCCTCTCCGTGTCCTGCTTCCATGGCCCATTGATCACCATTGCTGTCTGCCCATCTCGTCGGCGCTGCAGGGTCCCAACCTAGCTCTGTCAACTGCAAGATCAGGCTGCCGATGCTGCCCCTTCTTTTTTCTCCATCTCCCTTTGCGTGTGCCGCGTAGCATTCTCCGACGGATGTTTGGCCATGCTCTGTGGACCGCGTCATGGATCTCGGGGTGTCTGTGTCTCGCCCATAGGTCGAACCAGCATGTGATTTGGGCGCATGGAATGGTTCGTGCTGGGTCGCTCCCTTCCAACGCTAGAGTGCTCAAGCACCTACCTGTCCACGCACGTCTGAGTGCTCCGCCATATTGTCTTCTGATGTGTTTGATTTCCGATGGTGGGCTGCCAAACGCTGCGCATCCGTAGAGCACCGACGCCAGTGCCCCTTGCTCCACGATGTCCTCGATCTGCTTGGTGTTCATCAGCCTCAGTTTCTTGCCGACCTTGTTGAATCGATTCCCTGCTTTTATCTTTCTGGCCCTGTGCGTCGCACGCGATGTGGTGAGCTTCGCGCCCCTGTCGAGCCCCAGGTCTCGCCCTTCTTTGACTGGCTTGACCTTGATGCTGCGTTTGGCGAGCTGCTTGGCGATGTTCGCTGTGCTCTTGCTGGTGGGGCCGAAGACTACTGACTTTGCTGCCATCTTCAGGTTGTTCCTCTCCAGCTGTGCTTTGAGTGACATGACCTGGTTCGCGATGTCGCTCACCACCGGCGTCTGGCTGCCAGTGGCTCTGAGGCTAATGTCGTCGAACCAGATTCTGGGGTTTGCCATCGGCTCCTCGCCCAGGTGCTTCGCGATCGTGACGTAGACCAGGGCCCGCGCCAGGTTGTTGCTGTGTCTAGAGCCCGCCAACAGGGACTTGCTGGCCAACGTGCGTTCGCTGCATCACCCGTCTCGTCGAAGTAGCCTCGACGTCATGTGCTGGAGTAGTGACATGGCCAGTATGCGCGCTGGGAAATTGTAGTGCTGCGCTGCACGATCTGTGTACTCGAACCCGGCGTTGTCATAGAACCTCTCGGTATCTATGAGTGCACCTGCTGTCGTTGCTCCTAGGGTGTCCGCTGTCTCGTCGCCGATGATGCTGAGCAGGGCCTCTCTCAGGCAGCTCTGTCCTGGTACTGCTGCGTCCAACGGCAACTTGATCTCCCTAACCCAGTCTCGTACTTGCTCTCGATTAAGTAGTTCCCAGCATCTGCCAAACCAGATGAGTAGTGCTAGTGCTCTGCCCCGTCCTGTGCTGACTGCGTGGCGCGCTGGCTGGCTGTCTCCCCTGGGCCCGAGCATGATAATCGCCTCCAGTACTTGCCAAGGCCATGCGATGGCCTTCTCGCACTCGTTGCGCAAGTTCACGAAGCTGTTGCGTCCCTGAGCTGGGAGGCGACGTAGGTCAGACATGCACATCTGGTTTACCCCTTTTCCTTTGTCTGGCGCACCGTGAATTGCCTGGCCCAGCTACTCTAGTGTCCATGTAGGTGCCTCCGTACGTTGTGCTGCCCGTCGTAGGTCTTGTAGTAGCTCTACGTCTGCTGTGTTGTGCCCCTTGTGCCAGATGTTCTCGAAGATTTCGATCTTGGTGTCCATCTTGCCCATAGGAAGGTGCTTCTTATCCAGATTGTGCAAGAGCCCCTGCTCGTAGCGTTTGCCGCCCTTCGTGATGGCGTGCGTTCTCCCTGGCGCTTCTTTGGCTGATGTCGTGATCCACTTGATGTAAGCCTTCCTTCCCGTCGCAATGTCTTCTTTGGGCGCTGTATGCGCTTGTTGATCTGCCTGTATTCGCATGCCTTCAATTATGCTGATGTCCTGCTTGTCGATGTTGATCAGCCGTGTCTCCCAGATTTTCCTGAAGTCTTGCCGTTGCCGATGCTTGATGACCAAGTGGTGGTAGCCCCCCCGCCGCCAGCAGCCTGCATGTTGTGGCTGCCCTGTCCTGCATGTCTCTTCCACGGTTGCGCTTCTTGAGCTGCTCGATGGTGTTCAGGGTGTTCGCCGTTCTGTGCCACCAGTCTGCGCTGTGGTCCGTGCAGCGTGCATGTCTGGGTCATCGTTATTTTTGCTCTTTGCTTTTGAGCTCGTTCGGCAGGCCTCTTCCCTTGAACATTTCCCTTTCCTTGATCGGGATGTGGTAGGCTGCGCAGTAGAAGTTTTCCATGTCCTGCATGAGCTTTGCGTGCTGCGTCCCTAGCTCCACGGCCTCGCCCTCTGTGGCTTTGTATGCTGCGCTCTCCATGATACTTGCGGGTGGTGAGGTACTTGCAGCGGTCGCATGCGTCGGTAGCAGAGTCATGCAGAGCCAGAGGTCGTCCATGCAAGTGGTGTGCATGTCTTGCTCTGTATTGAGCTGCACGTGCTGTGGGCTGCTCTCCGTCTCGCCCTCTTGGCCGGTGTCTCCTCCCAGTTGAACAAGGAGATCCTCCGCCTCTGGTTGTGCGCGCATGGAGTCCTCATGGTCTCCGCTGCTGCATTGTTGCATGTGCATGCTCTCCTCTATGTCCAGGTGGTGGTCGAGCTCGTCGAATGGGTCGATGTCCTCCTCCTGGCCGCCAACCTGGGTACCTCCACGAGGTGGGGGTGGCTTGGCCTTGAAGGCATTCGCCGTCCCATCCTCGCTGGCAATAGCCTCCATAGGGAACCCTGTCCAACCACATGGCGTAAGTGCCTCCCATCGCGCTGCCTCTGCCAGTTGCTGTACTTGCCGCCCTTGGACTTGAGGTTGTCGTGCTGGTTCCTGTGTTGGCGGGTCTGCTTCGTGCTGTGCGTTGCGCTGCCCGTTTGCCACCTTTTGCCTGCCCAGCTTTTTCTGCCGCTTACTGTCAGGGTTGGGCAGGGGCTCGGCAAGTTTCGGGTGGCTGAACGTTCTTGGCAACGCAAGCGTTCCTATCATTTTGTACTGGATGGCCCCGTTGATAACTAAGCATTGGCCGATGTTGGGCCTCGTTGGTACGTCTGTGATCTCCGCGATGTGACTGATGCGGCGCTCCGCTTTGTGGCTGACGAGAGCGAAGTCGATGAGCGATGGCTCGCTGCCGCGCTTGAAGCACGTGCTTGAGTCCCCTGGCAAAGTCATTACCTTGCCTCCGATCTGTTTGGGCCAACCCGTGTCCCATACTTGCTTCGGTGAGTGATTCCAGTCGCCCACAATAACCCATGGCTGGCTGATGCTGAGGAGAAAACTCGTGAGCGTGGCGCTCTTGCGGCCGTTGATGCCATTCAGGATCGCGTAGTTGCCGTCTATGTAGATACTGATAACTATCAAAGTGAAACCCAGGAGGTGCCATGCCAGCGGCGTCCAATCTAAGAACTGCAAACCGCCCTCGTGGGCATCAAGGGCACCAGCTGTGGCGCCACTGACTGATTCCCGTGGGGCAATCTCTTTAAAAGTCGATGCTTGATGATGCGACCTGATCGCGATACTCGTACCGCCGTAGGTCCCCGTTGAAGATGAGCGTGATGGCCTAGCTGCACTTGCGACTGCTTTCAACCCCATGCTGTGTAGAGTCAGTTCGTGCTGTTCGACCTCATCGCGCCCAAGGTGCGTCTCCTGGAATGCGAAGCCGTCGAGGAAGCCGCCCTCCCCAGGCTTCTTCTCTACCGCCTTTCGCAACCATTTGTGCGCCTTGGGCCCCCACTGTGTAATTGCCGAAGAAAAGACGTATTTGGGGTTAGCGTCCGCTCTCCGCTTACTCCCCGACGCATTGCCCTATTCCTCCTTCATCGTGCCCTTGCCCGCGGCCTTCGCGAGCCTCTTCTTCTCCAGGATGTCGCCCATGTGCTTCTTGTCCTTGCCACCTGCCTCCGCCTTCGCATCAACTGGCGGCGCTGGTGCACTCGTTGCCCTTTTAGCTTGGTCGCTTGTAGGCGTGGATTCCTCTTCTTTTGCGGGTTGTCCATTGTCTGCCTTTCTTTTCGATGTTTTCTGCCGTATTTCTCTGCGCTGCTCCTTGGCCTTTTCCTTGGTGTCCTTCACGAAGGTGTCCAGGTGGCCCTTGAAGGTCTGCGCTTCGATCTTCATATTCAGGATGAGGTCCTGCTTGGCTTTGACGATCTCCGCGATGGTCTCGCCATCCAGTTCCTCGTCCGCTGCCAGTTCGTCCTCAATGCTTTTCATGGCCGTCACCGTGAGTCTTGACATTTCTCCTTGCATGAGCTGCTCCAAGAGCCCTTGCGTCTGGTGGATGCCTCCCGCTTCTTCATGGATTCTCTGGATCGCGTACTCCGACTCGAGGACTTTTTCAGCTGTTTCTTCTGCTTCGAGTCGTAGTCGGTCCCCTTTTGCTATGTGCTGCTCGTAGACCGTCTGCTTGTGGCTGTAGCGTCTGTTTGCCTGCTCAAACTCTCTGGCAACTTCAGCGAGTCTCATGGCCTTCGAATTTTGCGGTGCCTGCTCCTGAGCTGCCTTCTCTTTGGCGATCTGCGCTGCCAACGCCGTGACGTGGTTCTCGATCAGCGTGTTGGTCGGGCCACCGCTCAGCTTCGCCACGAGCTGCTCTAACGTCTCCGTGAGGGACTCGACGTTCACGTCCTGTGCGTCCTCGTTGCTTTTCCACTCGCCAAAATGGCTTTGACGTCTCCAGCTCTTCCACTGCTTCTTGTTTGCCCATGGCTGTGACCACTGCGTCTCGTACTTGGCCTCGTACTTGGCCTTGGTGCTGGTGGTGTCCTCCTGTGGATCTGGTCGGACTGTCTTCCAGCATTTGGTACACCACCAGTTCTTTCTTCCCCATCTGTAGTCACCACAACCCTTGCAGTCCGTGCGCGCGCACTGGACGGATGGCGCCATGCTGCCGCGGTGGCCCTGCAGGATGAGGATGTCCTTCGTATGTCTCAGGCGCCCCCTGGCGCTTGATCGCCGCCTGCGCTCCCTGCGGTGCCAGGCAGGGGAGGGTTCTCTGCGGCTGGTGCGGCCCTCCGTGGGGCCTGGGGGCGATGGCGCCGCGGGCCGGCCGCCGCGGGGCAACGGCTGCGGGCGGGCCGCGCTGCCAAGCCACTTAGGAGGAGGAGGAGGAGGAGGAGGAGGAGGAGGAGAAGGAGGAGGAGAAGGAGGAGGAGGAGGAGGAGGAGGATGTCCCCCTTTCCTCCTCCTCCTCCTCCTCCTCCTCCTCCTCCTCCTCAAGCCACCTGGGCCCAAGGGATCTGGCTCCTTTGCCAGGTTGTGCCCCTGGGCGCGGGTCCCGGCGCTTAATGTGCCCGGCTGGGGCTGGGCCTGCGGCTTGAGGACGCGGTGGGCCGCGCAAGACCGGGTAGCAAAACAATGGTGAGGCGCCGCGCACGTGCCCCGAGCGCGTGGACGAGGGCCCCTGGCGTGGAGGCGCAGCCGCAGCCCCTCGTCGGCGCCGTGGGCAAGAGAGGAGTGCGGGCGCACCCGCAGGCCGAGCAGGGCCAGCTCGACGTGAAGGCCGAGTTGGAGGCGGATATGGTCGCGGAGTTCGCGACGTTGAGTGCGTTCGCCAAGTGCGTGGCGTTCATGGAGCAGGTCGAGCCGACCGAGGTAGAGCAGATCGAGACGATCGAGGTGCGGGAGATGGCCGGGTTCGAGGCGCAGCACGGGGAGAAGTTCCAGGTGGCAGCGATCGCCAAGCGCGAGGCAGCCATGGAGAAGTACGGCGTGCAGGAGCCGAAGCAGAGCCTGGGCTACGGCGAGGATATGGAGCAGGAGATCGCCCTGGCCAGCGTCCCCCCGTTCCCGTGGCTCGAGCCCGTCAGCAAGGAGAATTGGGCCGACCTCGGCGACGAGGAGGTTGCCCAAGCGCTGACGGTGAAGGTGCTGAAGCTGTACCCAGAGACGGGTGTGGAGTGCATCAGGGCCGTGGACCGCGGGGCGTACGTGGAGCACGACGGGGATGAGAAGCACGACGACGCGAAGAAGGAGACCGAGGCTAGCATCGCCGAGGCGCCGAAGTGCGTGCAGACCTACGTGGACCTGGTGGGCACGTGGGACGAGGCCAAGGACTGCGAGTTCATGAAGGCGGAGGGCACCGAGGAGGAATTCGAGAAGAGCTCGGACGCCAGGGTCGACGACGAGCTAGAGGAGGCCGTTGACCCCGTGAAGATGCAGGACCTGGAGGAGAAGTGGGACAGGGTCGACGACGAGCTAGATGAGGCCGTTGACCGCGTGAGGCTGGAGCAGGAGCTGGACATCATCGGCTGCGAGTTCATGAAGAGCCTGGGCCGTATGATTATGCACAGCTGCTTCAGCAGTTGGCGGCTGGACGTCGCCAGCGACAAGGTGAAGAAGTTGCAGGAGAAGGGCAGCGCGATTGAGGTCGAGCTGCAGAAGTCCATGAAGGTGCTTAGGAGGAGCGGCGACGGCGGCACCGAGAAGAAGACCCGGGGGCCCGCGAAGCCGGAGCCCGTGCCCCAGGGGCCCGAGCAGAAGGAGCCCGTGAAGGGGAAGAAGAAGTAGGGGAGGAAGAAGGAGTTGATCCGCGGCCCGAGCAACTGAGGTGTTAGGCTTGGCAGCGGGAAGGTGGCCTACAGCTGAGTGCTGCCTGGAGTGCGTTCCCTAAACAGCTTGCTGTCCCGTGGTCCTGGGGCCGTGCGGGCCCGTGCTGGCCTTCGGGGTGCTGTTTGGGGGTCTTCTGCCTGGTAAAAAGAGGGCCCCTGCTGTGCCTGGTGTTGGCTTCGGCTCTCACCAGGGGTGGCACGGGTGTCCCTCGCGCCTACTGTGGCGCACTTTTAGAATCCATCGCTAGAATCCTCCTCCTCCTCCTCATTCTCCTCATCCTCCCCCTCCTCCTTCTCCTCCTCCGCCTCTTTCTCCTCCTCCTCCTCCTCCTCCTCCTCTTTCTCCTCCCCCTCCTCCTTCTCCACCTCCTCCTCCTCCTGGTTCTCCTCCCCCCTATCCTATCTATGGTAGTGGTGGTGGAACATTGGCCCATCAGCTCCGAAAGCTTACGTTTGTGCAGGCTTGTCGTCCGAAAGCGTGCGCACAAGAGTGTTCTGGGCGAGCTCTCCGGCCGTCCACCTCGGCCCTCCTCCTCCCGCCCTCCTGCCTGCCCCGCGTGCCTCATCACAGCCAGCCCGTAGAATAAGGACGTGCGGTAATGATGCAAGGGCCTCCCTCCTCCTCCCACCCTCCTCCCTCTCCCTCCTACTCCTGCCTCCTCCTCCTCCCTCCTCTCCTCCTCCTCCTCCATCCTCCCCTCCTCCTCCTCCGCCCTCCTCCTCCTCCTCCTCCTCAGCGTTTTTTTCGAACAACGTTGGCCAGCGAAAGTCGTTAAGGATGGGCCGACGGGGCAAGTGTGCAATGGTAGTCTTGGAAGAGTTGCCCATCCTTACTATTCGGGCTGACAAAAATTAGCACCCGTCGCGCCCCGGCGTTCGCTGGCTGCTTGCTGAAGCCAGCTCGCCGCCGATCAGCAAAAAGGTGCACAGGTGATTAGCAAGTCAGCGACCCCTAAGCCTGTGGGAGCGGACCTATAGGTGACCCAAACCATTACGGGTGAACGCTCGTTCAAATAGACGTATCAAACCAAACCATCCAGATCGATTATCCCTGATGCAAAGACGGCAAACCTAAGATAGGCAACGTCTCCATTGTGCTCTTGAGGATCGGGTCTCGTCTATCGATGATCCAAGGGCTCAACAACGATCCGAAGCGAGCCGTGCGCCTCGAAACTGCTCCTCGCCGCGAGCATGCGCGCCGCCTCGTCCGGCGTGCCCATCGCCGCCCGGCCGAGAACGAGACCGTCGTGCACGGTTCCACCCGCCTGCACGGGCGGGGCAAGGGGGGCAACTCCCGCTCCCTTTGCTCCTCCTCCTCCTCCTCCTCCTCCCTCCTCCTCCTCCTCCCCCTCCCCCTCCCCCCCCCCTCCCCCTCCTCCTCCTCCTCCTCCTCCTCCTCCTCTCCACCTCCTCCCCCACCCCCTCCTCCTCCTCCTTCTCCTCCCTCCTCCTCCTCCTCCTCCTCCTCCTCCCTCCCTCCTCCTCTCCTCCTCCTCGTCCTCGTCCTCGTCCTCGTCCTCCCCTCCTCCTCCTCCTCCTCCTCCCTCCTCCTCCTCCTTCCTCCTCCCTCCTCCCCCTCTTCCTCCTGACCCTCCCCTCCCCCTCCCTCCTCTCTTCGGCTTCCTCCTCCTCCTCCTCCTCCTCCTCCTCCTCCTCCTGGTCGTCGTCCTAGTCCTCTTCCTGCCTCTCCCCCTCCTCCTCTCCTCTTCCTCCTCTCTCCTCTTCCCTCCTCCCTCCTCCTCCTCTTTCCTCCTCCTCCTCTCCTCCCTCCTCCCTTTTCCTCTTTCCTCCTCCTTCTCCCTCCTCTCTCTCCCTCCTCCCCTCCCTCCCCCCTCCCTCCTCCCTCCTCCCCTCCTCCTCCTCCTCCTCCTCCTCCTCCTCCTCCTCCTCCTCCTCCTCCTCCTCTCCTCCTCCTCCTCCTCCTCCTCCTCCTCTCCTTCCTCCCTCCTCCTCCTCCCTCCTCCCTCCTCCCTCCTCCCTCCTCCCTCCTCCCTCCTCCTCCTCCTCCTCCTCCCTCCTCCTCCTCCTCCTCCTCCTCCTCCTCCTCCTCCACCTCCTCCTCCTCCTCCTCCTGCTAGGTTTATCGTTATTCGTCTCCTTATGATTAATAGTATCATTATTCTTCTTGTTATTTTTACTATTGGTATTATTACTAATAGTATGGTTCGCTTTCTTCTTGGTATTGATATGCTTAGGTGTATTAGTAGTATGTTTAGTATTGTTAGTATTCGTATTACTCTTATTCTTAGTAGTATTATCATCATTTTTATTAATACTATTATTCGTATTATTCGTATTACGTGTATTATTACTGTTCTTGTCGTTAGTACTAGTGTGTTGCTTATGCGTATGATGATTATTATTATTTTTAATCGTAGTGTTATTTTCTTTCTCGGCTTCTTCTGATTGGTCTTATTATTATTCTCAGTATCACCATTATTATTAGTATTAGTATTAGTATTATTATTAGTAGTAGTATTATTATCAATATTATTATTATGATTCGTCTTATTCTTATTATTAGCATTCGTATATTATTCGTATCGTTATTCTTATGTTTCTTCCTCTTCCTCTTCCTCCTCCTCCAACTCCCGCGAACTTCGAGCCGCTGACACTGTCGAGCACAACGCGACGGCGCGCCCGGGCGGCGAGGCTTCTCGGAAGCCCTCGCGCCTTCGGCGGCGCCGCGCTGGCCCTTTCCGCAGCCGCAGGCGGCTCCTCAGAATGTGCGAGAGCCTCTCGGAAGCCTCGCCGCCTCCTGAGAAGGCCTGCCTCCTCTCACTTCCCCCTCCCACTTCACTCCTGGGCTCGCCGCCGAGTGGTGGAAGGTGCCACCGAGGAACAAACAATGGCATGAACATACACTTTCGGAGGTCCGCGCGGATTTCTTGGATCTACGGCCCCCCTCTGGCGCGCGCAGCGCACCAGGGGCGGCGCTTGAGGCGCCGCCAGGGGACTCCAGCGCCGATCCAACACATATGCGCGGGCTTGGGGAGTTCATGCTCACGTCATTGTTTGTTCCTCGAGCTCCCCCACCGCGGCGTGCCACTTTTTTTGTTTGTCATGGGGGGCGAAAAAGGCGGGTGGGGGAGGGAAACGTGCAACGACAGGTGCACCTCCTCACTCCTGTCACATTTTGGCTACTTACCAAACTACTCAAACCAAAACCCGAGTCACCCTTGGGCTCGTCAATTTCCAGTGGGGGGGCACCCCGGAACACTGAGGAAAACCCGTGGAGCCCGTACACCCCCAAACCCAACATATTGGAGGGCCCGGGGCCTTCGGCTTGGGTGAGGGTGGCTTGGGAGGTAGCGTTAGGTCGGGCGTGTCCTCCAACAGGCAGATTTTGGAGGAAAAATGAAACAGATTCGAATGATCCACCAACATAGTCAAAACAATGGTCGAACATTGCCCCCCGAGTCTAATCTTTTGCTATTTTCGAATACTCCTCCTGTAGAGGGACACGCCCGACTGCAAGGTAGCGAAAATTTCTCGCCCCCCCCATGTCGCAACGCCCGAGCCACTGATCGGGGGCGCGCAAACATGAATTCGCGATCCATGGATTTGGCGCGCGGTCGCCAAATACAGGATCTGGGGCGGTGCCCTCCCCAAAACGCGGCCTGGTGCCGCCTCGTTCGGCGGCTGGAATCCGCGATTTCCCATGGAAACGGGACCCGTCGCTAACCCACGCCCCCATAATCCATGTTTGCGACCGCCTGAACTGAGTGGTCGGAGGGTGCAGGGCGGCGCCACGCCTTGCGCACCCGTTCCATCTCCGCCTCGTCCTCGCCCACGCCGGCGCCGCAGGCGAGCAGCGGCGGGAGCTGCGGCGGGCCCTTCGTGGGAGGCTCTCAGTTTTCTGCCGGCGCTGCCGCCGCCTCCCCTCCCTCCCCCCCCCTCCCCTTAAGTTGGGCTTGTTCCTCTACGCGTTTCACGGGCGCTCGCCTTGGGAACATTCGGCGGCGCGTTTCGAGCCGGGGGACCCCCCCGCCAACACCCGGCGCCGTCGATCAAAACTAGGGGGGCTCCCCTACCCCTCACATCCCCCCCCTCCCGAACCCCCCCCCCGTCGGCGCCGACGCCGGCGCCGGCGCTGGCGCTGGCGCTGGCGGCCGCCAGCAGCGCCGACGACGGGAACGCAGCGACGATGACCGGAAGAAGCCCAAGGGGGGGGGGTTCAACCCCCCCCCTTCGCGCCGGTGCTGGCGCTGGCGGCGGCAAGCAGCGCCGTCGCTGGCGCCGGCGCCGGCGGGGACGCAACGACGAATACCACCACTACCACCACCACCACTACCACCACCACTGCCTCAACCACCACCACCACCAAAACCAACAGCACCACACAACCACCACCACCACAGCCACCACCACCATCACAACCACCACCATAACTCACCATCAACACCACCACCACCACCATCACAAAAATCCACCACCATTACCACCACAGCCACAATCTACCACAACACCACCACCACAACCACCACCACCACCAGCACAACCCATTGCCACCACCACAAACCACCACACCACCACCACCAACAGCACCACTTCCACAAACCACCGCCACCACCACAACCCACCACCACCACCACCAAACCACCACCACACCACCACCACACCACCACAACCGCCACCACCACCACAACTCACCACCACCACAAAAACCAATCACCACTACCACCACCACCACCACCACCACAATTCACCACCACCACCACCACAACAACCCACCACCACTACCAGCAGCACGCCCCACCACCACCATCACCACAAACCACCACACCACCACCACCACCGCCACCACCACCACCACCAGCACCACTTCCACAAGCCACCGCCACAACCACAATTCACCACCACCACCACCACAAACCACCACCACACCACCGCCAAACCACCACCACCACCACCACCACAACCCACCACAACCATCACCACAAACCAGCACCGCACCACCACCAAACCACCACCACCACCACCCACCGCCACAACCACCACCACCACCACAACAAAACACCACACCACCACCATAACCACCACCACCGCCACCACCACCACCACAACCCACCACCACGACCACCACTGTCGTCCTCTTCGACGCTCCCTGCCACCGCCGCCCGCCGCCGCAGGCGCTGGCGCCGGCCCAGAAAACGAAATCGTCGTCCCCGCCGCCGTCGCCAGCCGCCGCGGAGGCAAGCGCCGGCCCGAGGAGAGGGGAAGCAAAAGGGGGGGGGCGGGTTCGACCCCCCCCCTTCCATCCAGGGGGGGGGGGTCCGATTCCACCCCCCCCGCCCTCCAAGCGACCACAGAACGCGCTCTGTCGGAATATTCAATTCTAGTTAAAAAAATAGTCGGGGGACAATTGTTTGAGCATTTTTTGCTATTTCAATTTATTGTTTGAACATTTTTCATTTTTCGCCCTAAATTCCTCTGTAGGGGGACATGCCCGACCCAACCCTCTCCCCTCTCGCCTCCCTTCCCAATCCCGAGGTGTGAGGCTCGAGGTTTTCGACGTGTTCGTCGAAGCTCGGCAGTTTTCCAGCCTCGGTGTGCTCGTCAGCGGCTGCGACTCGCCGAGGGTGTCCGGGGGGGCCCGGGTCGTCCCGAACGGCCGCCGTGAGACCCGAGTTGCGACTCCATAGCTCGTTTGCAATCCCTTCTGTCGGTCTCCTCCCATCCCTGCCACCTGTCTTTCCCTCCGTCCATCCATCCCTTCGTCAATTCCTCTGGATGGGCTCCGCCACCATAACAAATGTCCCTGCCATCTCCGTTATTCTCCGTTCCCCCCGCCCATGGCCGGGGCCACTTTTCCTGGTCTTCCGACGTTGTCTGTTTCCAATCCGAGGTCCCCAGAACACTCGCCGTGTGTCTTTCTTGCCCTCGGGACCGAACGGAGCCCCCGTAGGCCGAAACTGTAAACATGCTGGGGGGTGGAACATCAATACGCCTAAGGAATGTGCTGCCCAACCTCCATTTGGGCGTTCCCATGCCTTCTCTGGCAGCAACAGCATCCGCACGCGGCCGACGCCCGCGACGACGAGCTTGTCTCCTGCGGCCGCACGCCATGGTCACGGTGGCGGATCTCGACGTCATCATACGTATCATCCCTCTCCTCCATCGTCTCCGTCTTTTCCCACATCCTCCCCTTCGCCCTAATTCAATTTCTTCTCTTTGTTCCTCTTCGCCCTGCTACTCCTCCGCCCCGTCGTCCCCAAGCTCATAGTCACAGTCGTGCTCCCGGTGCTGCTCGTCCTCTTCCTCATCCCTTACACTCCTCCCCGTCCTCATGCTTTTCCACTCCCTGGAGGGACACAAAGGTACCGATAACGCCGCTCCACGGACCGCGCCAGGGGTGCTGCTCGACCAGAACTCCGAGGAGGATCCAGCCGTGGTGGCGAAGACTCTCCAGAACGAGCAGCGGTTTCGGTACCTCTCTCCCCTCCCTCCAGCTGCAGAGGCAGAGGGAGTCAACATGCAACGCACCCCCTCCGAGCACGGCGAGCGGCGCGACGACAGTGCAGAGCTCCTCCACGGCGACTGTGGCTCGAGCCCGGCTCTCCGTCGGGCGTGCCCCTCTACAGGAGGAACATTCAACAGCGGTTGAACCATAGTCACGGGGGGATGCTTTGCGTATTCTTGAATATGTGTTGCTTATGTTTTGCCCGTCTCCTGTCGTCTGTCGTCCAACATCGGCCTGTGAGGGGGACGTGCCCGACGGAAGCCCGGCTCGAGCCTCGAGCCGGGGCGCGGCGGCCCGGGCAGGGTCGCC